ACCTTCACAAGAAATATTCAATTAAATTGGATGAAGCTGGCTGGAATTACAATGAACAGTGAAATGCTATATTACAGGGAGGCAAGTGAAATGTTAATGTCTTAGTTTCTGAATTTGATACTTCTAGTGTTTCGCTGAATCAAGAAAAAATTGTGTATTTTCACTTTCAATTTTATTGACACTGAAACATTTAATAAAAATAATAAAGATATACATGCATGCATACATACTACAGTATTACATATATTTCACAGGACTGTGTTGTGTTGTGTAGGTCCCATGAGACATATACAACACATGTAGAATACCTGTTACAGGTAATTTAATTACATGTATCGACTATCACCCTTTAAATGTGGCAAATTCTTGTATATGAAGACTAGTAGCAAACAGTACATGTAATTTCACTTTCATCAATCCACCCTTCTATTCCTCTGGAATTTAGGAATACATTTCCCACCATCTTGAAGCCCTTCTAAATAGCCATCAATTTCTTTCACAATTCAAATTAGATTAAAGCAATTTAGAATTTTTGGTCTTGTATATGTATATTGAGTGCCAAGTGCAAGACCCTGAGGAATATTAGTGCAAGTCAGTATACTGTAGATTGAATCTGTTGTATATTATTAAAGTAGCACTCTGAGATCATTCATTACAACCAAAAACATGTACTTGCAACTGTATTGGTCTGCATTTGCATGAAAAATTGTCATGAAAAATACATGTACTTATTTTAAATGAGAAAATTTCAATAATTTTGAATCTGAACTTCAGCTTATCATTTGATCGTTGTGAATTTTTAAATAAAAGTTTGAGTGTGTATCGATTTACAGTAGTTCCTAATTAATGCAGAAAATGAGCAAATTATCAAATATTTCCAGCAATTGATGCATATACAGTCCATCAAATATTTTACATAATGCTCCAATAAGACCCCTATAAAGTTCTAGGAATGAACACAAAGGACAATATTGCATACATGTTACTCTCCGTGTGTAATTAGTAGTAAATCTATAATTAAATCATCACATATGAGCTAATTATAGACAGAATACAGACACTCAGCTAATTTACCGGTACATATAAACAAGCTGTAATATTGTACTGTAGACAAACATATGGTACAAATAATACCATACATGTTGGTATTATTTAAAGTAGTATATGTACCTAACCTTTCTAAAAGATGATTCAGTTTTAGTAAACATATGGCAAGGTTTTCGCATGATAATTATATCATATTTAGAATTTTCACCATATCAGGGGTATATTCAAAACTCATTGTAGCCAAGCACGTACTGAAAATTTCCACAAAAGCTATTTTCTGTTTTGATATACTGGTACTATTGTCTATTCATGTTTTAATAACACTAGAAAATTAAAATTCAACCATAGTGAAATTGATGGCCAAACAACAGGCATCAAATGAGGAATGTTTCTGAACCATTTAGGGAAGTTTGTTCAACATAAACGACAATTATTTCTGTATAAAAAAAGTCAACGCTTTTACTTTCACAAGCGAAACAAAAAAAAATCGTAATTTTGTAGCAGTGATTATTCCACTGGAATTGTTCAGACAGTACATCACATAAATTGTAGTCACTACAAGCGCTTATCATACTATCAAATAGCAAAAAGTTCCGGCAGCTAAAACGATTTACAATAAAAATTTTACATGACTGATGGCTTACCAATATTAAAATAATAATCACATTGTGCATTGGGCTTCCACGGTTGCCATCTAAGTAAAATATGTCAAGCACTCATAATTTCCTGTTGCCATTGTATTGAATTTATTCTAAGGTTTCAAATGAATTATATCCATTGACTGAGTGGGGTTTGTTCATATAGACTGAAAAAATACACTAGATTCAATTCATGAAATAAAACAAGCAGCCTATCGGCTGAGATAGCTCCGCTGTCAGCAATGCACATTTCAATTAAAGAACTGAAGACATCATTAGAAAATGAACAATATGTATAGTATCAAAGCAATCGGACTTGCAGTTTTTAACAAGAAGTCGAAAATATCACTTTTTACCAAAAATGACAAAAATATTCACCAAAATTAGAGAATTAAAGATATCATTACAAAATGAACAAATCTGCAAGAGGTCCACATGTAGTACCTATATATGTAATATCAAAGCAATTGCACTTGCGGTTTTTAACAAGAAGTCGAAAATATCACTTTCTACCAAAAATGACAAAAATATTCACCAAAATTAGAGAATTGAAGATATCAACATGAAATGAACAAACCTAAGAGAGATCTACCCAAGGTGCATATACACCAAGTATCAAAGCATTCAGGCTTGTAGTTTTCAAGAAGAAGTCAAAAAAGTAAAACATTGACACGGACGACGGACACCGACGCCGACGGACAATCACTCATATGATAAGCTCCGCTCGACAAAGTCGACAGCGGAGCTAATAACACCTATTAAAGTAAATGCCACTCTTTCTACGCAATTATACAGATACCAAATTTCAAAAATACAATATTTAGCTTCTGGATATGATGATATTTTCACAAAGATGCTGTGTAGCATGTGGCTATTTTAATGAGTGAGGCATGTGTGGAAACAGCAAGCATTCAGTACATTGACAAATTTAGGGATAATTTGTTGTGACGCATCCCTTTTCAAATAAAACGTTTCAGGCGACATTCAAACTTTGATTTAGCAATATGACTTGCATGTTCAGATGGCATGCTAATTGTTTGTGATAACAATATATGGTATATTAAAGTTATTAAATGCAGTTGGGTTAATGTGTAAAACCCAGAATTTGAAAGAAAATGAATCAACCTTAGACAATAGTAAATATGCCAGATGCTTGGCTAGTTATGCACTTACATACATGCGAGTACACTGTACATGTGTAATGTGTTAATGTGCATGTTTAGGTGAGTTGACTACAGTACCAAATGATGTCACTGCCTTTCTAAAGTGAGTTGACTACAGTACCAAATGATGTCACTGCCTTTCTGAAGTGAGTT